ACACCTCCCCTCTACTTACATTCACTGGCCACTTTATTAGAAACACCCTCCTCGTGCTTCCACTCACTGACCACTGTATTAGAAACACCTACCAGAATAATAAAATATTTGGTAATATTATCAATTATTATTATTCAACTCTGCCCTCCAAATTTGTTCACATTATATCCACAGTACCTACAGGCTAAATCTAGCCAACTAATGAAAAGTTCCACTTAGGATGTTCACTTCCACTTGGGGAGTGGGAGGGGCCTTTTGTAGCTGTTAATTTAATTAAACCCCCTAAAAAAAATTCAAGGATTGGATTTTTATAATTCCAGGAGACCTCAGCCATATCCACAAATCTCAAGGCCAGGCCTTGAGGGATGGCAACTCAAGTTCCACCACCTCCCAAATTCCAATTTAACCCCTGATTATAGTCCTTCTAATACATCAAAAAACCACAACGACGTGTTGAGGTTTGAGTGTGGTGAGAAAACCCTTCTCCTCCCATGAATGGTGTGTGCAGCTAGTCTGATTCCCTCCAGGGAAACTTCGGCTGCCTGAATCCAGATGTCATTCCAGGACACGGAAGAACTGACACCACTACACACCACTACAACTGCCTACTACTGTCAGCAAGTGCTGCTTTAAACGTCTTGGGGAAAGTTACTTAGTTCACTTCACTCATTTCAATGTAAGTAAGTGAGATTTAGATGGGCTTGTACTTCTGAATATTTGAGAGTAATTTATTTAAAATTTTCAGTGTCAGAAAAAAGCAGAAAACATATTTAACAGAAGCCTCTTTATCTCACACAGCAGCCTCATCATTTTTTCAGTGGTTAGGTAGTCACTCTGTACCATCATTACAGCTTCCATTCTTTTCAGGAGACTCACTTTCAGTTTCTCAAAGAAATCTGCAGACACCTTCTGCACCTTCAATCTAGCAAATCTGTACTTACGCACATAGACTGACTGATATTGTACATCTTCCATTCATATCTTGTAGAATCTGGAAGATTTCTATCTCAGTGTTCTATCCCCTGAGTACCTGCATCTCATTTATTATCTACCTCAGACTCACTGCACATACGGAGATGTGTACAACAGCACATTTTTTATTTTTTTTTTGTATTTAAATTCTATAGGGGGGCTATGCATGCAAGATTGTCACTCACTTTCCACCTGTGTAAATGTGAGGTGATGATAAACGTGATATGATTTGATTTGATTTGATTTGACACACCTCCAAAGTTCAGTCTTAGAAGTTGGTTGATCATTTTCTAAAGAAATCAAACACATTCAGTGATGTTGAGGTCTGGACTCTGGGGTGGTCAGTCCATTGTTCAGCTTCTTTGTTTGATGTGTCCGTCTCCTTTTCTCAGTGAGGCTTCTTGACAGCTACACATCCTTTCAGACCCATAGTGTTGAGTTGTCTTCTCACAGTGGAAGGATGGACAGAAACACCTGTGGATGTTTTCAGATCTGAAGCAGCTTGATTTTCTCCTCTCTCTCAAAGATGAAAGCTTTAAGTGCTGTTTATCTGATGGGGACAGTTTTGGTGTCTACCAGGTCTTCCAGGTGGTTGTTAGGAGTCCCATTTTCTCTGTAGCTTTTCATTATTTTTAATCAGTTTTCCTGTTTTTTTTTTTAAATCTACTTAATTTGTTGAAGTAATGAGATTTTTATTGGAGTATATGTATAAACTAGATGCTCCAAAAACTGAATGCAAAAGATCACCCCTTACACATTCTTCAGGCTACCTGGCAGAAGCACATGAGAAAACAGCCACCAGCCTACTTGCCAGGTATCCAGGATGGGGGCAAAAAGTTTAATTGGAATTTGTACACTTGGACGAGGGCATGCCGTGTGGTGCTGGCTTTGTGCCAAGAGCGATCACCACAGGTATTTCCTGAAAACGAGCTGCTAGAGCCATTTCACGGATCATCACAAGGCCAGAGACTCTGCTGGAGGACACCAAACATCAAACAAGATAAATTAACGTCATTTCCTTTCCCCTGGCTGTCTCACCATGATAATGTTTATTCATAGCGTTTCATTCACTATGTTCACAGTAGAGAGATTCATTGGTGACATTATTCTTCTGAATATTTCTTTTAGGTAGTCTGTAGTTGAGTCAAACATTGTCTTCATTTTTCCAAGCCAGGCATGAGGTCATTCTTTATGTTTTGACCAGTCCAGTCTTGGTCTGAATTTAAGCACAGCTCAAAAGAAGAAGGAAAGAAAACAGTGGAGGAGTATTGGAACCACCTGTTTTCTGTGTATGTTACAAATCACATCCACTAATTCTTTAGATTTCGATGGCAGTTTGGAGCCAGGTTAGCTGATCTTATCGGAGATGGTTGGCTTGCGATGTACGTTTGTCTCAGCTGCCCGACGTGCATTTCAAATGACATTACGCTGCCCAAAAAAATCAACCCCCACACTGCCAACCAAGTTCAGCTCAAGTTCTGCAGTTTATATCAAAGTGCGAATGAATGAATGCTTTTATAGTTGGTAATAAGAGCTTGAGAGAAACCATGGTCACTCATAAACAGCCATGAAAAAATTGTTTTTCCAGAAACTTTGTTCTCGGAAGCTTCTCATCAAAGGAGAATTCCCATTTTTCAAAATTTCTGTATAACTCAGTTGTTGAGTCATTCAGAGTGGTTTGTTGTGAAATGATTGACTGTTGAGACTCTTTCTTTACAGTGGTGGTGATAGGAACCAGAGGTCACCATGTCTACAACACAAATATAGCCATTTTTGTACTGTCCAAAACCACCAGTGAACCTACACGTGAAGATTTTTTCTTTGGGGACTATTTTGTCTCACAATGTCCTTCATGCTCCCCTCCACCATGAACTGAAGTATGTTTTAGGGTAAAACTTTCTCAGAACTATCATAAAACAGTGTCTCAGACATCAGGCAGTGAATTCATAACCATTTCATGTACTGACTTCCTGAGAGGGAGCTTTTAGAGGTGGACGTCTGGTTCCTATCAGGACTCGGTACGTTTCACTAGAACAGAGCATTTCACACCAAACCACTCTGTTTACATCTTAGCTATTTAATAACGGAGACATTTCGATTCTCTTTTCAGTCTGTGCCTGGCTTATCAATGTGATAAGTGAGTGCAGTCAGTGTAGAGCACATGCATTTCTGGTTCTCAGTCTGAGTCATAAAAACATCCTGCCAAAGTTACAGAGAGAACAGAACTGAGGTCTTCTTTTTGGCCCTCAGCTTAATGGAAGTACAAAGTGATCCAGTTTGTGGTCCTTTATCCTCAGCGAGATCCAGATGTGAACTGTGGTCTGCTGTCTTTAGGAACATGTTCCAGGTTTCTACATCACCGTCTTGGGCCAAAAGCTCCAGCCATGCAGCCACCTGGACTGAGTCACCACAACCTAGCAGATGTTTAGCAGCTGAAGCTAGCTTGCTGTGCTTCAGGTGTTTGCGAGTTGACCTATCTATGCTCTGCCCATTTCTTTTATTTCTGCTTCTCATGCAGAGGTGAAAATATACAATAAGTTCATTTGTCACAGAGATTTTGGTCACTGGTGTTATCAGGACTCATATTTTAACACAGTATTTTCAGCTCTTTTAAACTGCTTCTTTGGGTTGAGGCTCATCAGAGAGGAAGCATCTCAAGGCGTGAGAAGGCGAGTCACACTTGCTCACTATATATCATTAATTTATTAATAATTTTGTTCATCAGGCAGCTCATAACTTCTGTGTGTGACCGGTGTTATGTGCTTTAATGGCTGGGTAATTAAAATTTTGTCAAAATAATGCCAAATATCATTTTTATTACTGATTTTAAATAGTTGCACAAGGTCACCTGACCACCAATGAGTCAGCCAATTTACAAAATCCTCAGTTTTAACCAGGATGTCACTGGAGTCTCAGTCACTGGTGTTACACCATGTGTGTGTGTGTGTGGGTGTGTATAGAGAGAACTAAAGTGTTAACCAGCAGCTGTAATTTCAACCATAATCAACAATCAATTTTTAATATCTTGCGGTTGGCAGAAAAGACAGCTAGCCAAAAAATACAAAACAACAAGCTATGAAAAAAGAGCAACCAAGAAAGCAAATCAAATTAATTTTTTTTTTTAGCCATTTAACTCCTAAAAAGCATCTATTTCCACTTTATAATCTATTCTTCTGCTTTAATAATGAGATTTCTCAATGCTGACATTGCATTGATGTAATATGTAAAGAGTGTGATCTAACCAAAGCCAAAGGTCTAGCACACACATGAATATGAATATAATTCACCATTTTGTAACCACTTACTGTTACTCTAATGAAAAAAAAATCAATAAGTGCCCCAATGGCAATGTAAATGAGTGTGCACACTGGCTTAGAAACTATCACAGTGCACCCAACAATAAAGGCAGCAGGAGCTTCTTTTACACAGAGATAGTAACAAGGTAGCTCACAGAAAGGCCCAGTTCCACATACTGATCCATTTTACTGAACATGTATGTTCACCAACTACTCTGGGAGCAGATTTCAATCCGTTAAAGAGGACAGAGAAAGGAATAAAAGTCTTGTTGTCAAGGATTGTTGGCAAGATGTTAAGTTTGATAGCATCAAGCACTTTTTAACATTTTTTTACTTTATTTTGTTCTGTTTTGTTGACAATTGCATTCTATGAAAAAAGAGGGTAACTTTACCTGAACCCTGCTACATAACACTGACATAATCATACCATAAACATGTCATAGCAGCTGTTATATGCAGTCACAAGCTGTCACGACAGATTTTTTCAGTAATGTGCCAGTGTCATTGTTACGATTAAATTGTCATGACAGATACTGCTATAATATTTGATGAACAGATGTCTAACTAGACTACTAGTAGAGAAACAGTAACATGACCCTGTTATATTCATTTATGTTCATTTCCATTTCCTAGACTGGTTCTATTCACTGCTTTCTAAAAAGCAAACCCTTTTTGCTCTAATGGACATCTGGTTTTATGAAAAGCAAACTGAATATTGCAGTGAGGTCTTACCTAGCAGGACACGGCTGAGGGTTACAGATGCGGACCATGGCAGGGAGTCTCGTCGACTCATCACAGAAAAAATCCTCTACCACTTCCTGCCTCCCTGCTCTAACACACCGAAGAATGGCCATCTGCCTGCCTGTGGAGAGAAGCACCACAACTGGAGCTCAGAAAACAGCTGAGGGAAAAGGTGCTGATCTGTAACTGGGTGATGTTTTGCGACTGTAAATTTATTTTTTTGAGAATACATGTTCTAGTTAGGTGTAAATAACCCTTACATCCTGTAAATGGAAGTCTGGATATAACAAACTGTGTATAATACATTTAAATAATATTGCAAAATAACAACAAAAACTGTAGACCACAGTTTTTAAGCACTGCAGTATACAGCTTATTAAGTTAGAAAGCCATCAATTTTAGCTTAGTCCCTTATTTTGGAGGATGAAATACTGAAATATATTGAATCTGGATAATATAACATTTCTTTAATGAGGACATTCAGTTTTACCTCTTAAATGGCCAGGTCCCACCGGCAGGTCCAAACTTTTATTTCACACTTCTATGAATAACTCAGCCAGTTTGCATTGTTGCCGTTGTAGTTACTGAAAAATAAGACTTATTGTCTAATAAGACTGAGATTTATAAGAGAGATTAAACCTATTTCATGTTGCTGTCGATTTGCAGTCTCTTGTAATGATGGACTTTATGCATTTGTCAGTCTTGCTTGATATTTGGGGGAAAGAACCCAGCACTATGATTGTTTGAACTCTTCTTCTTTTGTTTTTCGGAAGGCAAGAATCTGCTGCCTCTGGCTGTTAGACTTGCACAACTGAACACACAAGCCTCATCAGCTCTTTGTGTAGTTTAGAGTGACAAATCGTATCATTTTACTTTGATATCAAGATGTGTACCTGCTACGCAAAATGCATACAGGTCAGCAGGTCTGCTGATGTAGTCCATCAGCCAAGTCACATTTGCTTCTTTAGTTTTGCACTGGAGCTACAAGGCTAATATAGCTAACAATTAATATATCTAACAATTAACAAATTAGCACGTTGCTAAGTGGATGATCTAATTATTCAATCAGGCTTGACTTAAATTGTGTGGAGGCATTCAGTATCTCTAATAGACTCGATTATGTGGTTTCTGACACTGTATGACTCACTGTTATCTATAAGCATGGAATAAATACACCACATAGCTAAAAACAGTAGCAGCAGCTCTCTCAAAGCTGAATTTTGACCATACTTTTGTCCATTCTTATTTTTCTAAAAATGACAATTTTCAGATGAGAAACATATCTTGGCTGCATGTGGGGTAAGGAGGGCAAATTGTGTAAATTTGATATTTTATAACTTTTCAGGAGAAGGAAAAAACATACTTTACTTTTAATGTAAGTCAATGGAACCAGACGTTTTTCTGAGTTATTTTGAGTTGTTTCCTTGGGTTCATACATCATGAAATTTACACCTGCTATAAAGGACAACAGGCATTTTCAAATTGTGTCAAAAACTGAAAAATGACAAAAATGGAGATACATGTATAATACATATGGGGCACATTATTATCACTGCATGTAGATATTTTCCTCTATATAGTACATATGGGGCATATCACTGCTGTTTAAAGAAAACCTTTTAAGTATCTACATGTAATAACATGGCCCATATGTGTTACTTATGTGTAAGTGCCTATTTGTGATAATAATATGGCCCGTACATAGTATATATTAGGGGTGGGAATCTTTTGGCAGCTCACAATTCAATTACGATTCAGAGGGCTGCGATGCACTCCAAAGTGTGCAGCATAGCGCGAAAGCCCTAGTTCTCAAAGACTGAGAACAGACAGCAGACAGCAGGTCACACAGCACCGAGGTCTGGCCTCACCAGTAGCGAACGAAAAAACAGAGATTAAGACGAACATTTGGAGGACTTGTTCGCATTTATAAGCAGCGCGGTTGGTTAAATCTGCAACGAGAGTTAAAAAAAAGTTGCGGAGATGAACTCGCTTCTCTTTCGAATTTTCCCGTTCCACCTTAAATGGTGCAGCAGTTACATTCGGCGTCTAAGGCAGAATTTAAGGTGAAACGGGAAAATTAGAACGAGAAGCGAATGAGAAGCGACTTCAGCCTCGTAAAACAGCCGGACGCTGAGATATTTTACAAGAAACTCTTCTAGTTTTGAAGAAAGGTTTTCTGGCAGAGATGGGAGGAAAGCGGCTATAGCTAAAGCTTAAAGCAGAGCGAAGTAAATCTGCGCTCTCGTTTATATTTTTAGCCCATACTACGACATTAACACATACTGGACATTACATGTTGCGGCTTCCAAGGTGGTTTGACTTTGTTGAAAGGACAAAATGGCTCTTATTAACATGTGTGTTGTGACTCCTGACCTAACCTGGCTTTAATGCAGAGGGAGCCGGTCGGATTTCTCACTCATCCACTTGTGTTTTTGTTATGTGCCGCCACAGACTGTCCGGGCGCTGTGCTTACCCACTTCCAAATTCCGCCTTTTGCGCTTCGTCAACATTACGTTAGAAATTAAATATTTAGAAAATCGATTTTTGACATGTCCGCATCGCGATGCATCTAAGGATCGAGTTTTTCCCGCACCCCTAGCATATATGTACCTACATGTAATAATAAATTGGCCCATATGTATTATATTATATTTTATATATATATATATATATATATATATATATATATATATATATATATATATATAGGTAACTTTTAGTTCATATTACATTTGACAAATCTGTAAAGTTATTGTTATGCATAGTCTTGTTTTTTGTTTTGTTTTCACTACTTCTTGATATTGAAACAAACAGAAAAAGCCCAGACTCAAGCTTTTCGATAAAGAATATTAATCATATATAAATACAATTCATATTTAACTAACTATGTAATAAATTAGGAGAATTAAGTCAAATATGATTAAACGGTTTATCATGACAGCAGCAATAACTCTAGACAACTAAGGGTTATGATTTTCAGAACTAATTCGGTGTCAGACTCACCCACACCGCAGGAGACAGTGCAGGGTGTGAAGCCTCTGTACTCCCACAGGTAGCCGTGCTGTGTGGGGTTGAGTTGGGACTCCAGGGGCCACTGAGGGGACACTGGGGCTCCAGGACAGGGGCCCATGCTGCAGGCCCTCTGCAGCGCAGGCTTCTCCCCACTGCACTCCTCCTCCGGCAGATCCACCTCAGCCTGAGTGAAGGACAGCAGCACTCTGCACTTCACCAAGCGCTTCTGCAGACCAACACCACACGAGGCACTGCAGGACGTCCACGGACCTGGGATAAACCTAAACACAGCCACAGACTTATTTTTACACAGTGTCAGGATATGGGCTCATGCATATGTCCCATATGTATTAAATATATATGAAAGTATATGTAATGTGAATCATGTTATTAGACCTAGGCTTCCTGTTCAGCAATATATGTCAAAACTTCTCAAAGGTTTATTTATTTCTGGTAGTGTCTTATTGGATTTCTAATAGTAAGTTAGCACTAAGCTAACGCTGGTGAAAGGACATTTCATGTCTTTTATTTGAAGATTACAGACATTAACATATATTCGAGTTTGTATGTATCAGTTTTACAGTGACCTTTCAGTAAAGATTCCTGGCATAGAGCTGCCTCCACTGTTTTCCATTCCTAACAACCAACCCAAACCTGGCTAGATTACAGCTCATATTCACAGCCAGTGACATATCTAGAAACTTCCTGAAGGCCTAGCGTGACTTTTTGTTCAAAAATTTGTCTCATCCATTTCATATTAAAACGTGATTGGTTGATTCCTCTGACATTTCCTAATTATGTTGATAGTTAGTGTAACATGCCTTCAGTCCAGTCCAAACCAATGAGAGAGCTCAACTGGCTGTATCTACTTAACCCCTTAACAGGCCAGGGCCCCCCAGCCTAAAGTCCCTGTAGTTACTGAGTAATAAGCCTTAATATGTCAAAGTGAACTTTACTGTCATTCAGATTATTCAACAAGGAGTACACAGCTGAACGAGATTGCGTTTCTCCAGCCCCGATGTGCAAAATATAATGTGAATATAACATAAAGGCAAATTAAATCACAGACATACTAGACAGCATAGACAGACATAAAAAAACATACAAATAGGGAAAATATATATACACATTTTTTAAAACTATTGCACGTTGTATAGAAAAATACTGCACACTGTTCTCAGGGATAGTATTATTGCACAGTGCAACAGGAAATTAAACTAATATAATAATAATAGAAATTAGAAGTAATAATAAAAAGTAAACTAATAACTAATAGTATGTAATAAGCCTGGAATTTTAAGAGGTTATGTTGGGCATGTTGGGCATTTCATCATTTTAACTCCTTTATTTCCAATCAAAATTTAACACTCAAGTAAGAGTATTAAGTTTAAACACAAGTATGATCTAAAAATTACAGATTTATAGATATTATAAAAATATATACAATATATATATTCTAGGTCTAAGGAATCACTAGGCCTTCCAGAAGGCCTTAAGGAGTTTTTGGAAGATTAGGCTTAGACAGTTTCTGTGTATATATAAGCATATATATATATATATATATATATATATATATATATATATATATATATATATATATATATATACGTGTGTGTGTGTATGTTTCAAGGTATATATATATATATACATACATACACACACACACACACACACACACACACACACACACACACACAAAAACTGTCTCGAAACTCTGAGAAACTCTACTTTTGCCCTTTCAGGGGTTTTTTTTTTTTTCTCAAAAAACAACGAAAAGCAGTTTGCAATGTCAGAACCATTTTGTTGATCCAGTAAATGTTCACATTCATATATATATATATATATATACACACACACATTTACATTATAGTCAATCATTCATTACTTTTCTCAGTACGCAAACTTTTCATCTTAAAACGTAGTTGAGGTGACTATTTTTCACATTTATTCCCTTTTTTTTTTAAAAAATTGCTGTTAAATTACTCTGAAATGCAGTACGCTCTTGAGAGGTCAAATCAGCTCAACATGAACCACAGACTATTATAACTTCCAGAACAATATAATATAGACGCCTGAGCACCAGCAGTGTCCATATGAAAGAAAAGTGATCTGAAAATAATACTGGGTTACGGCACTAAAAATAGCCCTGACACGGGCCAGAAAACTTTATGTTCCAGAAAAGAATCATAGCGAGATTAAACTCTGCAATATTAATAGACATTGCCGGGACTCCTAATGAACCACAGAATGACTTTGCCATGCTGCATTTGGGACGAGTGGAAAATGACCCTTTTTCCAAAAAGCGTAGTTGAAATTCATAGCCGGTCTGATTCGCGCATAATTTGATTCACTTTAGAAGATGAAGAGAGAAAAAGAGCACAGCTGGACACAACTCAGGTCCAACTCAGATGAGCGGAAGAAGAACTGGGATGCAAGTCTTATGCCAAATCACATGTTTTTATTTCAGGTCTTTTATGCTGTTAAATGCAGTTTTGAAAGTGAAAATGTAAAGTTAGACC